TAGTTCCAAGTTTAAGATTAATAAAAACTTTAAACTCAGATTCACAAATGAGTTTCCTTTACTAAACTGCATCTGTAGGTCTTTGTTCATAAACATAAACTAGCCAAAACTAATTTACTATAAAATGAAATAGTGTTTGTATAAATTCAGAATAAAGACACGTCAGTCACAACTGCATATGAGTACATATTTCTATATTGTGGTCTGTTTACACAAAGTTAGGTTAGTTCATCATTTATGTTGAATAGACTCTCCCAAAATTTTATGCTGCTGCACTGATGTTGAACCGTGTGCTGCACTGGGTCGGTATGACCAACAGGTCAAAACAAGCTCAAAACTAAGCGCGCTGTGCCCTGATTGGTGTTCTTACTTCGCACTTCTTTCATTTTGACATGTTATGTTTTTATACACACATAAACCAAAAGAAACGACAGATTTCTCATAATGTAGTGGAGTAAAAAGTGAGATATCTGACTTTGAAATGTGGAGTGAAAGTAAAAAGTCACCCAAAATGGAAAAACTTCAGTAAAGTACAGATACACAAAAAACTACTTAAGTACAGCAACGAATTACATTTACTTAGTTACTGTCCAGCACTGCTGCAGCATACAACACAAGTTCAGTTGTAAAAGTGGAAATAATGAGAGGAAAACATGTTATAACACAAACATCACTCAGTGGAAGAGAACTAATGAAAAATAAGAATCATAACGGCTAATATAAGTGTGGAGCTGCGGTAATCTGATGGAAAGGTGATGGTGATGTAATTCTCGGTTCTCCTGGTTCCGCCCTGAAAAGCTGATTGTGTCAAACAGACACACACACACACGTTCACTCCGGCCCTGAGAGCTGGTGGAAAGATCAGGCTCATCGACAGCTCAATATTAGTAGCCTTGGGGCCGGACACTGTAGCATAGCGCAATAAAGTCAGGCCTGCATTAGCCTGGCTAGCGGCTAGCAGCAACCTCATTTCCCAGTCTGTCCTAGTCCTGGGTTTAAACCTCGCTTTAGCACCTCCGCTAACTTGCAGAGCAGCGTGGAGCGTCGCTCCTAAACGCTGCGCAGGCAGATGAGAAGTGAGGGAATGCTTATGCGCTGCTTTTCAGTTGAGTGATGCTAAATCAGCTCCGGCAGGCTTGTGAGCGCTTAGCAGTAGCACGCCTCTGTTTCTTTTTATGGGAAATTGCTGTCTTGTTACAAAGCATCAAGCACAAATTTACCACCGCAAAGATCAATTTCCCATTATTAGGGGAGCGCGGCGGCCGAGGGGGGAGATAAGAGGCCGAACGAAGACTCACTTTCTTTATTTACATTCACACCTAGAGCTGAAGATAACAGTCATCACATCAGTACAGCCGATGACATCTACAACCCGTTATCACCAGAAGGGTTCTCAAATGGTTCTTAGTGGAACTGCGTCAAAGTCCTATTGCTTCGACAAATATATGTATATGTTATGGAAAAACCAACATTTTCCTCAGTTTTGGAATAAAATATAATGATCTACAGGCTTAAAGATTGCAATGGTGCTGTTCAGAACCATGAAACATTTCATGCTTAAATGGTTTTTGGATGGAGAATGGTTCTTCTGTTGTTACCAACTTGACATCGTGACAAAAGCAAAACCATTTTTGCTCCTATATAGAACCATTTTCAAAAAGGTGCTATATAGAACCATATATGACAAATTCTTCATCAATCTGAAGAACCATTTTACCATGCAGAGAACCATTTAAGCATGAAATGCCTTTATATAGAACTTCTAAATAGAACCATTCCTTTTACTGAAGAACCCTTGAAGAACCATCTTTTGTTTTAAGAGTTAACAGCTCTGGACAACTAGCAAAAAAGTGTTCTCATTAATTCTCAGTAATAAATGTATTGGAGAGCCTGCTAGATGGTTAGCTAGCAGTCCAGAGCTGTAGGAGGCTTATCTGGACTGAACTACGCGCTGTATTACAGAAACTTCTGAAGTCTGAAATCTGTTTAGTCTCAATGACGACTTCAGTACGGACTGAATTTTGGACAGTATCTGTTCCAGAATAACAGTTCCTACCTTCATGATCTCATCATGAACTCCAGATAAGAAAACAGTGTCACACAAACATCCTAACTGGACTAAACCTCCTAAATCCTGTCCTAACTTTAGGATGAACCTCAACAGGGTCCTCACTTCTGTTTAAGGTCCGTTTCTATGGTTTTTAGGCAGCTGAGTCAGCAGCATAGTTCACTACCAGCATAATGAGCTCCATTTATTTCTACTGTAAAACGCTGCTTTCACTGTGAGATGATTTTCTTTTCTAACTCTGCGTTTTAAAGATCTCAGACGCTGCAGACTCGATCTCCACCGCCCCTCTGATCACCTTCGTGTGTTAATGTTGATGATGAAATATTACAGTGATGGTGGTGAATAATGAGAGACGGAGCTGAACGTGTGTCTGTTTATTAGGAGGAGTAACGTTAGCGCGCTCGGCTAAAGCGTTTGGGAAATGGAGACTGAAACTGGGGAGCGGCGACGCTCTGACAAACAGCAGGGGGCGCTCTCACTGTATTCACAACCTACAGTTTATCACACTTTAGTTTTACCTTGTTACATCAGTAACGGTAGTTAGCTGTTTGGCTAGCTAACTTGATTATTTTGACTACATGTTTACGTTTCTACTGTGTGCGTATGGTCGGTTGCTAGGTAACAGGCATGGCATAATAATTTCATACGGCCCCTGTAGTTTAGACTTAACATGTCAGTTATTCAAACGACTGAATATGTGAATTATCCAGTTTTTTTAAATGTTATTGAATATTAGTTGCAGACTTTGACGATGCTAATTGAAAGTCATTGGCTTCCATTAGTTGTAGCCTCATTAGCCTCATTAGCCTCGTAGCTCCTGCGCTAAAAAGCTAAAGAATGACTTCAGACACCAAACATGTCTTGCCAAGTTAACTACATTTGTGGTAATTGTTTTTTTTTGCCAAATTGCTGCTTTAAGAGATTATTTAATCTGACGTGGAGACATTTTGTTGCTCTCCAAGCTTAAACATTCAGAGTTTCTGTTTTTGTCGGACCGCAGTGCCATTAAGTTACAGCTGTCTGGAAATGGAGTAGCACTTTAGTGTTGAGCTGGTAACGACCCACTCGCCAGTTTATGGCGGCTGAAGCCTGTGGCCACTTGAACATAAGCTGAGTGGTTAAAATGAGTCACACATTAGACCCGATATATCTCAGCCGTAACTGAGAGACGTATAGCATCCAGATCCAGGAGAGCGTTTTAGGCCACAGTAGGATCACATGGGGATACAATACACGTCCAGAAGTCTGTCGACTCCAGAGTTTCTTCTCAAATGAAGGTGTTAATAGTGAGTCTGTGCTGCAGTAACAGCTTCTACTCTTCTGGGAAGGCTTTACTCTAGATGTTGAACATTGCTGTGAGGATTTGATTGAGCATTAGTGAGGTCAGGTACTGATGTTGGATGGTCAGTTCTGGATCGCTCCAACTCATCCCAAAGGTATTGGATGGAGCTCCATCACTCCAGAGAACACAGTTCCACTGCTCCACAGCCCAATGCTGGGGGGCTTTATACCCCTCTAGCCCCACGCATGGCAACCTTTATAAAAATGGTTCTATATAGCACCAGAATGGTTCCGTTATTGTTACAGTTGAAGGAATTTATTGTTGTGAAATGTACGGTGTTGTGTGTGTATGTGCAGAAGTTGTATTTTAGGCTGCCTATTGTTGTCTTTCTCGTTATATGGTCATGTCTGTCACACCTGTCACTTGTCATGTATAAGCTGGGTCTATTCTTGGCATCAGTCCAGCTATAAAACTGTGACAGTCCATTGTCTTACGGGCTGGCTGGCTGTCTGGAACCTGTGCGCACAACAAATAAACTTGACTTTGTCCAGACAACAGATTGAGTCTCCTGGTTTGGAATCATGGGGTTTGGATTCTATCACAGTGTTGAGCTTGCTACAGTTGCAGAACCTTTTTGGTGCTGTATAGAACCTTTTTCAATAGAACCATGTACAACACATTCTTCTTCAGTCTATAGAACCATTTTACCATGCAAAGGACCATTTAAGCATGCAACAGTCCTTTGAGTGTTCATGGTTCTTTAGCTGTACTGAAGAACCTTTGTAGAACCATGTTTTTTAAGAGTGTAGTGATACTCTTAGGATGTTAATATGGCTAAACACACACACATATATGTATACATGTATATATTATAATATTATATATTATAATATTAGTGTTTTGTCTGAGCAGACACTCACTCACTGACCAGATAAGCAGCTTTTTAATTTCTAATTTTCTCTAAAACTTCTGCACAGTACTGTAGACCTTTAGAAGCTGCTGACCCCTCAGGACTATCTTGGTGCTAATTCCAGTACCAGAAAGAGGCCTTCTATTGTCAGACCTGCTGTCTAGGAGAACCGTGCCAGATTCCCATCGACCTCTGCTCTCTGCTCTGCACCCTCAGGGCCTGTAATTGATCCTGCTACCGCTAGCGCTATGCTAATCCATCAGCGATCTGTTTATGCTTAGGGACTACTGTACAGTAACTCTCAATCTCACTGTCACACACACACACACACACACACACCCCTCCACCCAGCATCCCAGTAGGAGTGGATAGACGACAGGCTGACTGGACCAGTGGTCACTTTTGTGACTGTGCTGTCCATCCACAGCTAGCTTTATCCTCCAATGGACGAACTCAAGTCTTAACATTAGCTGGCTGTCTTTATGTTAGCGAGCTAGAGATGGGGAAGACGAAGAAGCGGCGTCTGCCCTCCGTCTCTCAGTTCGCCACTCTGAGGTCCAGCTCAGTGCCGAGCCGGAGGAGCGTGGAAGGCCTGTGCGCAAGCACCCTGCTGGGGATACTACAGGCTAGGACGTGGCTGCTGGACGTGCACACGACCTACTTGCTCCAGCAGCCTCCAGGATTCCAAGCTCCTCCTCGCGCTCACTCTCTGTCCTCTTTCTCACACTCCTCTTCTGCAGATGGAGGGAGCGAGGAACCCAGCGAGCTGCGGAGCGCCAGCCTGGACCCCCACCACAGCCTGGTCGGCCAAGGTAGACCCTGTTATCCTCTCTCTCTCTCTCTCTCTCTCCCTCCCTCTCTCTCTCTCATTTCATTTAGGTTCAGTTCAAGGCTCTGTTTTTAATATATTTAACCCCTTAAACTCCACTTTAGTTTCTTACTCTCATCACTACATTACATTTTATATTAGTTATCAAACAATTTGTAGGATTTACTGATTCATTATTAATGTTTAGTCTTTGTTAGCATATAAAATAATAAAAAGTCTTGTTGAAAATATTTGGTTTAGTATGTAAACATTATTAAAGTTTCAAAAACGTTAACATATGACCACCCAGTTTAGCCCCGCCCATCCTTGCTGAAGTAGTAAAGAGTGTTGTTACTGCACGGTATTGGTGAATGAGGTACGCTACAGGGCAGCCAATCAGAACAGGAGTCATTGCATATTTAGTCATTGCAGCCTTAACCCATTGATGTCCATATCTGAAATGCTTTGGTTCACAAGTTCTCTGAGTTTCCTGAAATTTCCATAAATTGTCAAACCATATGGGCAAAATGTGTTACACAGTGTTTGTATTGCTTAATTTTTCATATTAAATTCAATATAGAAAAACAAGTTTGATTGTAAATAAAAATGTTTTGACTGTACTTACGTTTATTTGCACTTATTCTAATATTTATGGGTTACTTTCCAGAATACCAAGATACATGGTTAAATATTTACTTATATATTTTTCTGTATATTATGGAGGAAAACATATAAATGCTAGAAAAATATAATATAAATATTTTAGTGTCTGTCACTCTTTTTCACTCTCGGCTAAGTGCTTCTCTCACTCGTCTTCTTTCTCTGACTTCACCTGCTTTTTAATCTGAGCTTTGTTGATGGTGTTTTTAAAAAGTGTATTTACTATATTACTATATTACTATAATACTATATTCCTATAGTTCCCTGAGTAATAGGACTACAGTGGAGCTCAGAGCCGAGCTGTATGTATGTGTGCGTTTGTGTGCACGTTTCAGCCTCGGGGGGTTTGGGTATTGGCAGCTTGTGGTCAATATGTGAGCCGCCTCTCAGCGCACAGCAGTCACAGAGGATCATAGCCTACTTTCTGATAAAGTCTGTCACTCAAACTCAGGTTTCTGTTTGGTGCTTGAGTGCTGGTTTGTCCCAAACGTGTTTGAGCCGAGAGATGCATCATTTCGCTGCTGTCAGAACAAAACCTTGTATCTCCATTTTTGTCGTTTTTCATTTTTGGCATAATATAAAAATGCTTGTTGGGCTTTACACTGTGTGTAAATTTCATGATGGATGGACCAACAAAAACAGCCCAAGTTCTGGTTCCTTTGACTTACATTAAATGAAAAGTATTTGTGTATATATATATATATATATACACACACATATATTACATTGTATATGTGTGATAATTAGGGCTAGGGGGCGGGGTCACGCTGTGTGGAGGTTTTGAAGACAAAGGCAACTTTTTTCTGCTGATTTTCATTTAGAGAGATGCGTGTTCTTCTGTGCTGACCAGTCTGATCAACCTTCAGTGACAGTTGTAATGGAAGGAAGATTATCAGCTGTAGTTTTTCACAGTTTGGAATCATCATATAAACAAAAAACAGCAGTATGTAAAGTCAGAGCCTGTACATATCAAAACAGCAGCTAGCTAGTGCAGTCAGTTTACAGTTATGATGCTGCTGTTGTTTAGAGATCAGCATTTACATGCACTTAATAATCTGATAACTGCTGAAAATCAGACTGTGTCAGTAACTGGTTCAGCGTGTTTTCATGCACTTGAGTAATCAGAAGATGGGGAAACTCTGGGTCTACATGAGTCAGACAGTAATCAGATTTCAGCCAATAAACTCACAGAATAAGACGTGACGTAAACGTGAAACTCATTGTCATACTGCAGCTTTAAAGTCACTTTAGCTGAAAAAATGAATATACTTCAGAAGAATTTTTTAATTCTTCATTTTGTCAAGCATGTAGCTGATTTCAGCATTACTCCAAATGCAGGGATGTGGGAAGGGGTTTTAAGTCGGGGTTGCTGAAATTTTAAGCAGCATATATGTGAGGTGACCAATGACGTCGCACAAAAATGATTTGCCTGTTTTATTTGATTTTGTTTCTTATTTACATGAAACAGAATTTGGCATACGGTGCTATAATGAAGCGAAAGAAGACATACAAATATAACTGGCACATCAGACTCACATCCTCTCTCTGCTCTCTCATTCTGGATGAACTTTATCCAAATGAGCTTATCAGCAATCAGATTGTGGATGTGGCGCAGTAACTGATTGTGCTGCAAACTGAGATTTAACTCTGGACCACACTCTGAGCGGGAGACATAACTTGATAAAATCTTCTTTATTACGATAGATGATTATTTTTAAGTTTAAAAAGCAATGTTAGGCTGCTTTGGGACTCAGAACTGGCCTGTAAATCTGCACAGACTGTCTTCTTTGCACCTTAACCCGTGTGTGTGTGAGCGACGCGCCACCAAAGTGGCCAAGAGTTGCAGCAGTTGGACTGAGAGAAACGAAAGAAATCAGAGTAAGAGTAAAACCCCATTACTGAGCTCAAATCTAGCCTCTTAATCAGATTAGGCCTTAAACCGATCTAAGAAATCAGTGTGCTGTTTACGTGACCACTTAATAATCAGATAACTGCAGAAATCTGATCATGACTGGATTATTAAGTGCATGTAATCACACTTACTGTGAATCCCCCTCAAAACCGTTTTGCTTTTATTTATCAGGTGGTAAATATCAAATATGGTCGTCTGTTCCCATAATATGCTCTCAAAGTGCACTCTTACTATACTTATCCCAAATATAGAATATCTTAGTAAAGGGTGGCCAATATGGCAAACATATAACAACATGAGACGTTTTAAAACACATTTTAATGTTTTACATTATGCATTGTGGTATTTTGGCTGTCTGATGTTTACAAAGAAGTTGGAATGAATAAAATGCGCAGCCACATTTAAAAGGGCATAGAAACTAGGAGTGCAGTTATTTTTGTTTGCAAAAATAAACTATTAAAGAGGAAAATGTAGTTGGTCAAAAAATATATGATTAAAAGAAAATAATGTCTTAATGCACTGACATTCAGTTAGCTGAGTGCTGTGCAGTTACTGTGCCGCTATGCAGTTTGTGCACTGCACACTGGTTGCTGTTGAAGCAGGGTCTCTATAATTAGTCTACTCTCTTTTTATGATCAGTGCAGTTGTTTACTTTCTAAAAATGGTTACAATATCCGTCATGTACAGAAAAGCACATTGTGAAATAATTTATTGCAATAATAAAACTTACTCACTTTAAAGGAGAGAGCAAAAACATTCTTTACTTTCAGTGTAGAGATTTCTATTCCAAGCAAATTTGCACAATTTCTATTGGTCCATTCATCATGAACTCTTCACAGAGCATGAAGGGCAGCTGCTCAAATGATGTAGAGACCTAAATATAAAAAAAAATGGAGATGCATGTTTTTCTTTGGACAGCGACGATGTTGTAATATTGTGAGATTAATAACATGGTTTCTTGTGATGTAATTGATCACAATAATGACATATAGTCCACCCTCAGTGATGAGCAGTTTGAATGAGCTCTTATATGTGGATGAACCTCACGTCTTATTTTGATAATAATAATAATAATAATAATAATAATCATTTTTATTTATATAGCACTTTTCATGCTGTTGGCAGCTCAGACAGGTGATAAAACAGTTATACAAGAAATCATCTAGTATTTATTTAGAATCAGAAGAAAATGAAACAGATCAAATTAGAAGATAAAAACCGCGAGACGTAGAGTTTTACTGAAGCTCCGAGTTAAAGAGCTGCGTTTTCAGATGTTTATTAAAAGTGAGCTCTGAGCTCGACTGTCTAATAAAAGCTGAACTGAGCTCCACAGTTTAGAAGCAGAATAACTGAAAGAGTCTTTCTGTTTTCTGTGTTTTACTGAAGGTGTTTGTAGTTTAGTATCTGCAGATCTGAGATCATAAACAGACAGACGCTCTGTGATGTAAGTGGAGCTTTAAGGTCATTTAGAGCTTTAAAACTAGTAGCAGAGCTTTAAACTCTATCCTGAGCGACACAGGCAGCCAGTGCAGCTCTTTAAAGCAGGACTGATCTGATCTCTGTGTTGTTTTTGTTAGGATGCCGCTGCGTTTTGTACGAGTTGTAAAGGATGTATAGTTTTTTAGGAAGTTCAGTAAGAAGATCATTACAGTGATCAACTCTGCTGTAACAAATGCATGAACAAGTTTCTCTGTGTTGCTCTGAGACAGAAAAGGCTGAACTTTAGTGAAATTTCTCAAATATAAAAAGCTACTTTAGTGTCTGTGTTTACATGCGGGATAAAACAGAGCTCAGAGTCTAAGATCAGACCCAGGTTTCCCACTTCATGTTTGGTATATGAAGCTAAAGAACCAAGTTTCTGTACCAATGATCAGTAATTCAGTTTTTCAATGATTTAATTGTAGAAAATTTTCCTTCTTTCTCCGCTGTGCTGTAGGGGGCAGTATAGACAGTGACTGTGCCTTTGAAGGTGACTACGGTGTTCCTCCTCTCTCCATGGCTGAGGGGCTCCAGCACATCCGGATCATGGAGGGCGTGTCCCGCTCCCTGCCCTCCTCTCCACTCCTCACTCACCAGACGGTCAGCGTGCGGCTACAGCCGGTCAAGAAGATCAGCGGCGCAGCCACAGGTAGGACACTGGTGTGTCAGTTTGGGGCGATGATGGATAGAGTTGCGGCCATGTGGGCTCACAGATATGGCAGCTGTACTGCAGTGGTCACTACTCGGACCCCATGATCTGGACACTTTTGATTGTCCCAATCATTAAAGGGGAATTCCACCAAATTTCTGCATGTTTAAATGGTTAAGGGTGCTGTAAGGCAAAAGTACACTCTTAAAAAAAGATGGTTCTTCAAGGGTTCTTTAGTAGAGACAGTGATTCGATGTAGAACCATGAACACTCAAAGAA